ACAGTTTAAAATTGAAATAAACAAACAGTGCAATATGACTTGCGTATTGTTCAATTGCTGTAGTGAGTTACTTAGAAATTCCCATTAAACATTCTTGTTTGACATTCCACCGCTTTGTAACGTCCATGCAATGAGAATGTATTATTTAATTATATATGAGAATATCATTCTAAGTGCTTGTATGACATAGTATTATTTGTTTTGAATCAACACACGTAACAATATAATTTATGTATTGTTCAATTTTTGCAAAACATAGTAAGAATTACACATTGTATAATTGTTTAATACATTTATGTAAATTTTTAATTAAATATAACAAAATACAAAAGCTACTACTCTATACTAATACTAAAAACTAAATGTACTAACTCTACCAAGCATAAAATTCGAAATCTTATTAAATGAAGCGGTTTTTGCAAAATTTGCCAACCTCTTGAAAGTTTTGCAATTTTTTAAAAATTTGTGTTTGTAAATTTAGGAATATCGCAGTGAAACTGCTATCAGTTGGTCTGGTATGCTTAAGATTATAACTTTGGCTTTAACGTTTAGCAATTAATGTTCTTGTTTAATTATTCTTTAAGACCATAAAAAAGATCATATGATATTTATTTGTGTATTGCTGTATTTTTATTTATTATAGCATATTGCAGCGGGGGGATGACACCCTAACCTGTTCAATCATATTACATCTAAAATTGAGAAATACAAATAGATTACAAGTAACGAAATCAACAAAATTATAATTATGAAAAGTATTTACGTATTTCATTTATTACATTACACATCAAAAGAAGATTCAAATATATCCAAATTTTGCTCGACACGAATTTCATTGTATGTTTTTTATGTAAGTCATTGAACCAAATTTCCCGAAATTAGTTTTATGAAATTGGGTGTGAAAACGACTATGGCTGACGACAGCTATGAGTAGGGGCATGGAGATTTATCTGACTGAGAAGTTGTGGACAGGAGTAATGGCTGTTTATCACCTTCCTCAAACAGATGAAGAGAGCGATTCTGAAGGGAGAAAATTTTACAGTTTCAACCGTACTCGTTAGTTTCCCCCTGAAGTCCTAGCTTGTAAATTAGGTATTTAATAGATTTCCTCTAAACACCCTCAAGTAAATTACATTGAATGTCCCAAGAATATCAAACCGAGCTACGCTAGTCAAGCATGTTCTGAGCCAACACAAAATATAGATGTTTTAACATAAAAATATTTCGGAAATCTGACGTAATTTGCATGTAACATGCGGAGAAAATGAAAACGCAGAGTTACACCCAAATCGCCAATTCGGACACTCAACTCAAATGCGATCTCAGTAAAGAGTAAGAGGAGTGATCTGTAGAAGGATATGAACTGACATTTGTCATCATTAAGACAACAATTTCATTAGTCAAATACCAAGAGGCAACCCTATTCAAATTTTCCTGTAATCGCATATTTCCTCCGTCGAAAAATATTATACCATCTGGCAAATTCTTCAAAAATTCTGAATCTTTGAAACAAGAGGACATACAGCCTACCTGTAAACTTTTCCTTAAACTTCTATTGGAGAGATAGGATCTAATCCAATAATCCAGGAAAAAATAATGGAAGGAAAGAAGCTAGAGCTAGAGTTATTTGAGGAAAATCGGAAATCGTGAGATGCGGTCTGGAGTGACGTAGGTATCAGAAAAACATTTTCTTTATCGTGCCAACGTTTCGATCTTCATTGATCATCTTCAACGCTCAAAGTGTTTGTTTTCTGCGTAATTGTGCCATTCTTGCGCGTCGTGTTGAGAGTGCCAATTCGGACCCTGAAGATGATCTCAATAAAGTTCGAAACGTTGACACGATAAAGAAAACGTTTTTCTAATACCTATGTCACACCAGACCGCATCTCACGATTTCCGAATGATCATGGAAACGGTCACTAATCACCACATATTTGAGAAAACTTTGAATATTGACTCTGATGGTTACATTTTTAATTCTTGCGGATGACAGAAATCAAAATGAAAATTGAATAAACTAATAAAAATATTTCGATTATCGGTTAGTCGAATTAGACTATACCTTTAACATAGTAATGGCAGGTCTCAATAGGATGTAACAGCAACAAAAAACAAAACAGTCATTTTTTAAAATTACACAATTAGTTTAAGTTCTCAACGAATGGAGTTTTTAAACGTAGGTACTCTCATACTCGTTTTTAAATACCTTCTTTACTATTTACAGCCATTCACTCAGTTAGGTTGGGCGAGTACTTAATATTCATCCAACATCCTTTACACCTGATAATTAACATAATTGAGGGTGGTTGGGGTATTCCGCCATCGGTTCTCTCACACTACAATGCACGCCAATAAATACATTCACTCTCAACAACGGCTAGGAACATCAAACTATCATTACCATTTGCAATGTAATAGCCGTTAACAATGTGAAATAATCAAATGTAAAATAAAATTAATTTGTTTTCAACTTTTAGTGCTGGGGTAAAGTGTGTTGAAAACAGGTCCGTCGTGGTATGATATTATTTTAAAAGGCCATTTCTTCAATTTATATGTTTAAGGAGTTGGCCCGCTTTCAATTCTCGACTGATGTGTACCGTATCTTTTTTCCCTTTGTCATTTCAAAAGCAGCCAGATACGATCCAATATAATAATCTAAACGGAGGAAAAAAAAGTTTTTTTATTAATCTCTTTGAGAATGAACTTCCAGAAGTTTTGAGTTATTGTCGCTCAGGATTTATGGCCTCTCTCAAACCCAGCCGTCTACTCGGGCTAAAGCAAATCTGTCCTATTTCGGACAAAAACCTGCCGACAATCAGCTTACAGCCTTATGCGTGACTTTTGCTGTCGTTCCTTCTTGAAAAATACCGTCTATCATTCAAATTTACTCTGAACGTAATTTTTTTAATACATATTTTTTCTTTCAGACAAATCCTAATGTGAATAGGAAGAAAAAAAAATTAATTATATTTGATTATTTTCCTTACTATAAACAAAATATTGAGATTATTACAAAGAAACCTTGTGCATTAAAAACCATTTCTTATTATAAAAAATTAAAGTGCTTCTTAAAATATTTTGTTACTTAACCTAACATTCTCAAATAATTAAGGTTTTTAGCTGAGATAAAAAAGTCAATGGCACGAGCGGGATTCGAATCCACGATCTTCGGCTAGATACGCCGCTGCTCTACCACCATTTGTCGCCGAGAATCCAATCTGATTACACGACATTTGAAAAAATGGCAAAAAGGAGGGAAAACTCAAAAGGTGGGGTTGAGATAGGAAGTTGGTGTCTGAGTGGATCGAGGTCACGATAGCTCAGGTGGTAGAGCAGGGGCGTATCTAGCCGAAGATCGTGGGTTCGAATCCCGCTCGTGCCATTGACTTTTTTATCTCAACTAAAAACCTTAATTAATTGTAAAATATTAATTGGTCAAGCGGACCATGAAATTTGTGAATTCTCAAATAAATAACCTTCTATATTGTGAGATTTACCCAGAGTTTCTTGAGATCTGTGGGATCCATATTGATTACTTTTATTATCTTACTATCACTATTTAAATTTTTGGAGGGTTCGAGGGAAAAGCTACATATCCTTAGTTTATATACTCGTAGTTTTTATTCTTTGTTTAAATAAACAGTTCACTGAAAATTACTGTTGAGGCAGTGTGATATGTGCAATTAGTGAAGCTAGATAAGGCGAAACTCTGACTTCTTTGAATTTGGAAGATTTGCCTATGTCAAAAACGACCCGGGTAATAAATATCGTCTGATTTTGACGCGATGTCCTTCGATATTGAGAAGAATATGTTCGAAGGTTAGATAAGAGCATATGGTGATGTAAACGTGATTGAAGGAATGTGAAGCATAGAAAAATTCTGTATGTTTCAATAAATGAAATGAAAATTTTTCCATTAAACTGACAGGACTGAACCTGATCGAGCTGTCAATCGACCGGAGAGAACCTGTCCCAGGGTTTAGGTCTCAAACCGGAGGTTATACGTTGAATTTTGATGTTTTTTTTATTCAATCCATTACAGTTCGTGGTCCGATTGACCAATTAACATTTTTCAATTAATTAATATTTATGAAAGGTATTGGTTGAGATAAAAAAGTTGGTGTCACGAGAGGGATTCGAACCCACGACCGTCGGCTAAATACGCCGCTACTCCCACCTCAACCTCACCTCTTGAATTTGCCCTCCTTTTTCCCATTTTTCAAATGTCGTGTAATCTATTTGATTCTCGGCGACATATGAAATGGCCACGGAGAGCTTTAGTGAAGATATACTTCAGTTTAATTATTAAATCCATTTCAGTATGTGGTCCGATTGACCAATTAACATTTTTCAATTAATTCATATTTATGAAAGGTATTGGTTGAAATAAAAAACGTCAGATGGGAAGTTAGCGTCCGAGCGGATCGAAGTCAGGATAGCCCAAGTGGTAGAGTAGTGGCGTATTTAGCCGAAGGTCGTGGGTTCGAATCCCGCTCGTGACACTGACTTTTTTATCTCAACCAATACGTTTCATAAATATTAGGTTTTTATGTTTTAATTTTTTTAATAAAAAAAAATATTTTTAGTTAACCCCACACATGGAAACGACGAATAACTTGAAAGTGTCGTCTTGAAAGTCTCTTAAGTGTGATTCCAATATAGTAAGTTAGGTCTGAATATCAAACTTGGACGAAATATCCAAATCGAACAAAAGTCATAATAGGGATCATAACTCCATTAATTTCATGTTTTGACAACCAGAAGACGGCCCTTTTTCACAAGATTGACAAGAAAATATTGTAATTAAACTCGTATCAAAACTCCTCCATTGAACTTAATGACAAGCATTCATAAAGATTGCAATAGATCGAATTGATTCTCGAAAGTTTGGAAAAACGTCGAGAACCGGGGGTGGAAACGGGGCTTCGGGGTGGGACGTCGCGGAGGTGCGCTGTTTCGACGGCCGGGGGGTTGAAATTCCTTCAGTCTTTACCCGCCGTTCGTACCAATAACATCTAGCCTTTTCCGTCGAAAAATCTCGCCGCGATTTCGATGTCGTCTTGAAAATGGAGCTCCACATCATTATAATCGCAGTCTGCTTTCAACTCACTCAAGGTACAAATAAAGAAAAAAAAATTACAATTAATATCCGCTAATTTTTACTTAACTCTTGATAATTTTTTTCCTATTCCTATAACTCTTATCCTTGAGAAAACAAACCTTGGTGACATTAGTATAGCTCAAAAATGGAAAAAAACGCCACTCTTAAAATGAAAAATGTTACATAGAAAAAAATCATATTTATATATGATATATTTAATGTATGTTTACTACGCAAGTCCTAAAGCTACACGCGATAGAATATACTTTAAGCCAATTTTATCATCACTTGCTTTGGGTCCATAAAATCTTCCATAAAAATTGAATTATTGTACAGTATTATATATGTGATGTTTATGCAATATTATAAAATAGCACCAACCAATTTCGCAAAATGGAATTAATCGTTTTATTAAAACAAGCTTAATTGAATATACATTTTTAAAATTTTATGAGACAATATCAGCAAAATATATTGTCCAAATATTCTGCAAATTGGAGAATATTTTAATAAACAAATTCAATACAATTAAAGAAATGCTTCCCAAACTTTCTAAAATAACAAGTGTTCTTTGGCATTACATAACTCAAATATATGAATTATATTAATTAATCACATTCAGTCAGAAAAGTTTATTTTATTTTTTAATTATTTAACATTTACCTCTTATCTTATTTTTAAATATTATGTGTACCTCACATTTGATACATCGTCTATTTTCAACTAACCGTTGATCACCACATTATTATTTTTACATCATTGGTTGGAAAACCGCTATAAGATAGTGAAACCTGAGACAATTGACGTTTCAACGTCAGCAACTAAACATTATTTAATTTTTTCAAAATTAAATTTTAAACTACTTTTGTTGTATTCTACATATTTCTTTAAAGCTGCTAGTTATTATATGGAAGGTAATAAACAAAAATTTCACAATCAACACGAAATACTTTTATTCTATTAAGGAATTTATGAATAATTTAAAGTATCAATTCACTTCTATAAATTTGAAGTAAATTCTGAATTAAAAAATGACCATTTCTCCACATCGCAATATAATTCAACCGATTATTTTGGTTGGCTAATCATTGTTTTATTGACACAAAAACATATAAGATTTAGGGGCAATGACTGCAAATCAGGTAAATCATAAACTACTGCAGGACCTCACTCCATAAAGGAAGAAAAGTGAACATACTACTAGTAAATCCAGTAATATTCAAACAAAACACATTCAACCCTAAAACTTGCAAACATATAAACAACTATTTGCGTACATAGTTTACACCATTCAAAACACGATACTAAAAAGATAACACGACAATTAAAAAGAAAAAGTACCGGAACAAAATAAAAATAATCCAGACTTAATTCACCAAAAGCACTGACAAAGTCAACTCCGACACACCACCTCTCACTCTCTTTATAAAAGAAACTTGACTTCACAGAAATCACACTGAAAATGGCGAAATAACAGGCAAACCCAGGACAGGCAGACGAACATGATCGGTAACTACTATGTAAAAGTTCATCACATTGTACGCAGACGTTTCACAATACCGTAATGATTACTATTGGGTTGTCCGGAAAATAATGCAGGATTTTAAGTTTTCATTAAAAAAAATCTATATAAAATATTCTGTTTACGTTTACAGGATTACTCATTTGTATNGGGAAATTATTTTGATTAAAGAACATTGCTTTAAAGTAACTAGTTTCTTTTTTTTTGTTTAATACCAAAATCCTGCATTATTTTCCGGACAACCCAATAATAATAATTTACATTTTAAAAGGTAAATAATGAGTAATAGTGACGAGATTTAAATGATAAAACCTTTAATTCCTATTTACAAACAATATCACCGTAACATTAAAAGCCAGTGATGATATTAACTTATTTGTACTACAAAGAAAAATAGTCTTCAAACAAACGCTAAAAGAAAAAATACCCATATTTTTGGTAAATTTGTTATTTTTCATTACTCGTCTCCTTCAAAATTTTCAACGAAACAACAATAAAAATATTTAAGGGGGCGTCGGTGGCCGCAACGATTTAGGCGTTGACACGACGCTCATCACTGTAAGGTAAAGGTCGCGGGTTCGGTCCCGCATTTGAACCCGACATACTTAGAAATGGGCTTTTTTCAAAAAGAATATAGTATATACTATATTTTGTCTACTGGTCAGCTTGCTTTGTTGGTTTGTCAAAAGAATTTCGTCACTTCGCCATCTTCATTGGGTTACTATGGGTCCGAGTCAGTCGCGTTCTTACGTAATTGAAGGGAAATTTGTGGTTGGTGCTATCTTCGGTTTTGCGTTTTTCAGTGTTAAACATTGGAGTTGATGAAAATTTAAAACGTGTCGACAGACCGAAACAGCGAGATTTTATGTACGATGTTTTTTATTCTCCTAGAAAAGAAAATCTGTAAAACACAAATTGGGTTTAAAGAATGAACAAGAAAATATAAAAGAAACAGTTTATTGAGAAAAAGTTTTGATTTATGTTTATAAATGTTTTGTTTTTGATTTTGCTATGTTATTCAGTTCAATGATGTTCAATGTGTTATCTGCGTGTTGACCGGTGTCTAATTAACCGGTGATTTTCTTCCGCACGCGTTGTGGCGAGAATTAGCCACCCATCATAGCAATTTAACATTTATCGGTGAAGAACAGTTTGGAAGCATCTTTTCAACGGTGAGACTAGCAAATCGTCATTTTATTTATTTTTATGAGTTCAAATTTTTTACATTTTTAATCCATCATTATCAAAATATTGAATTAAAAAAGAACTTATTTCAAGTACCTGAAAATTATTGTAAAGTGGTGATGATGCATTGGATTGTAAAATAAAACCAGTATAGCTTTATAAATTTTTATGGCCTTTAAAAATGGGTTGTAACGGAAAGTTGGGTGTATGCATAAAATACCTAAAATTCCACGTACAGGAATTTTTGTAGCAAGTTAACAACGTTAATGCGCGTCTAATAAACTCTGATCAGCTCATTTTAATAGAACCCAAAATATGAAATCCGTACTAAATTTTTTTTTTTTAATTCATCATCGTTGTTGGGAATATAGAAAGAAATACCTGTATTTTGAGCAATATGATTCACAAGAATAAGGGTTTATCTCATGTACGACCCCGGAGCGAGTGGGAGAAAAATACAAAGAACACCATGTTGGACTTAAACCTCCGAGTAGAACAGAGTTGTGCAAACGTTACATTTATTGATTTCGGCCTTGTTAACTTTCCCAATAGTGAAATTCCGATCCCTGGTCCGCCTATTTTCGCTGTTTGAGTTCAAACGTTTTACAACATGGCGTTCCAGCAACGGGCTGACTGGAGAAACGTGAAGATTCGAAAGGGTCTGTTTTTGATTTATCGCAGCTTTTACCGTGATTGAACACAACCACCGAGGCACCTGTAATCAGTGGAAAAGAACTGAGAACAGATTGAAACAATGTGTGAAAATCTGATAACTAAAAGTACGCGCCATTAATTAAATAGTAACTACCTCTATTTACAATTAGAATGTAATAAAATTATTGTTTTAAAATTAAAAATTCACTGTATCATTAAAAGATCAAGCTTTTATGGCTTACTAGTGAGTAAAAATCCAAATAAATAATTATACTTATTAAAGCAAATACGAGAAGATTATTTCCGGTTGAATCAGAAAATTTTCCGTAATAATGGTCCAAGTTTTTAAATAAAATAAGGTCAATGTCGTGGAAGTTGGTGTCCGAGTGGATCGAAGTCACGATAGCTCAACTGGTAGAGCAGCGGCGTATTTAGCCGAAGGGCGTGAGTTCAAATCTCGTCACACTGACTTTCTATGTCAACCAATACCTTACTTAAAGATTAACCAATTTTAGAAAAAATATTAAATGCTATTTTAATATATATATAGCATNTGAAAGATATCACGTCCTGGCGTCGGAAAATCGTGATATCTTTTAATCTAAACATTTCTCTTAAAATCTATAAGCACCGTTGAAATCCCCGTTAATTTTTCAATAAGAAGATGAAGGTGGCAAAACGTATATATATACGTATACATATATATATAAATATTAAATGCTATTTTAATATATATATAGCATTGATGAAAAAGGCTTTTCATTTTTAGAGATGTCAGTTTAATAGATAAATATAAATTATTCCTTTTATTTAATGTTTTTGGTTGAGATGAAAAACCATAGATAAAAAGGAAAATAACTGGAATAATTAATATGGTCAATTATGACCACTAAGCAAATGTGGATAAATATAAAATTAACGAATTAAACCCCTTGTCAATAGAAATTAGCCCCATTGGCGATATTTCAGTTATCTTGCTGAATAATCATAAAAGGCAATGGCCATTTAAAAATGTATTCGACTGTTACCAATTTCGTTTTGGCTTCGAGTTTTAGGAATTTTGCGTCGAAGGGATTTCCCCTTTTAGCAGTTAAACTTTAGTCTATTGTGTCCGATTTCTGCTAGTGGTTTTCCTAAAAGATTTTCGTTTCTTTAGTATAGTAAGGAATTGTCAGCAGTATGTTATGAAAAGCGTATAGTGCAGAGTTATGGTTGTCCTAGTTACTAAACTTTTCTTAGCTTTATTTCCTTTTGGGTCTACCTATTGAAGGAATAATCCAAGTTAGTCATCTGTTTAAGTTTAATTCTATTCAAGTTGTATTTTATTGGAGCATGACCCGTAAATATACCAGTTATTGTTTTTAATAGTTTTCTATTCAGTAGGATCTTCCACTTTTCTCATTGGGTTGTTTCTGCGAGTAGTCCATTTTGCCTGCCTCGTGCATGCATACTAACCCAAGATTCCTGTTCTAATGTGGGTATAAGATGCCAAAAATTTTAGATTTTGGTCATGTGTTGTTCCGAGGATACATTTTAATACGTCTACTCCATCGTTGCCTAAAATTCTCTCATGACCACCGTTGGGCTATTTATAGATCCCAGTTTTGATATGGTTGTTAAGCAGTTGCATACAAACCTGGAGAGCCATTAGAG